TTATGAATATATATATATATATATATATATATATATATATATGTATGTATATATATATATAAATTGTTAAAATGACATAAATATTTTTTAATATAAATAAGATGTAACAATTTTGTTTGTAAATGGAATAAATATAAGTTTGTTTGAATAAAATTTTTCGTAAACACAGAAGAAAAAAAAAGAATGAAATAAATTTTTTTAATAAATTAAAATTAACTTGTGTATAAACTAATTCACAGATTTTTTTATATTGATGTTTTCAAAAAATTATTTTTAATTTATATATAAGCTAATTTTAGCTTATGAATATAAATTTATTTCATTTTTTTTGTTACTTTTTCTTCCTAGAAATACTTATGAAACCCATAAAAAAATGATATTATTTTTAATTTTTTGTTCTCTCAAAAACCTTTCTCTCTGGTTTGGAAAGAACAAATTTAGTGTGGATTTATACCCTTCTTTTCTTACTTATTGTCTAGCATGCCAAATGAAAAGTTTTTGTAATATGCATTGATTTCTCTAATATCATTTTAAGAAATAAATTATGAAATCTAATTTGATCTTATATATCAGTTTATAAAATAAAAATTACATCTCTTTTATATATGTTATCATAATTTTATCATTGGTCTATGTGAAATGATCTACATAAAACTTAAATTCAATAGTTTAAATTATGTGTACTTAAATATTCATAGATGTATTATTGTTTGAAAACATATTTGGTCCTAACTTGAAAGGGGTTTGGCCCCATCCATTATTCATTGAATGCACATGAGACATTTGCAACAGGCTGTAAGGTTTGATGCAGTCTTTAATTAGAACTATATATAGGCCACACACGTGTCATGAGTGGGCTCTACCTGAAGATAACTCCACATAAATGGAGAAAAGATCCAATCTGATATATGAATGTGACCATTCCTTCCCATCACTCTGCAGTGTTTGGGTGTTGATAACATCTTGTAGAATCCATTTTTATATCTATATTTGTATTCACATAGTATATGTTTATGGCTTCTAATTTTAAAATTTATTTATGTAGTATTTTATGAATAAGAAAAAAAAATTGCACTGATTTTATTATCATTGAATTACAGATTATCATAAATTTATTAATTTT